AAAGTCTTTGGATATTTTTTTGAATAAAAAATCCATCAATTTAATAAAAAAAGAATTTAAAAATATTTTTTATAAAAAATTAGTGATCAAGTGAAAATTAAAGACATAAAAAAAATATTTTGGTGAAGTTTGTGATTCACAGAAATGACATTTTTAAATTAAATTCTTTGAGTTTATAAATATTCCGATCACTGCAGCTTCTTGAGAAACATAAAGGAATAAATTCAAGATGATTTTGGATGCCGAAAACGTAAATAAATGTTTTAATCACAAGAGTCTTCCTCAATGTTAATTATAAGCGGCTTAGAAAAATATTTTTTTAAAGTGTTTAATTTAGCGAGCGATGTTTGTCTTAAAGAAATTTCATTCGAATCTTATGATATTTGCATAAACTTTTACTGACCAAAACGAGAGAAATTCAACAAAGTTTATATTTTATGTACTTAAATAGTTTCTCCTTAATAATTTTTCGCAGCAACTCGCGCGGTCAAACAATACGCCAGCTATAAGTGAACGAACGCTAGAAGAATGCTGGTCCACCTTGCAACGAGTGAGTTGGCATCTATTCCGTTGTGTATAGTACTCTTCCTTAAAACCGAAACAAAAAAAAATTAGAAAACCCCCCAACAAAAAAAAAAAAAAAGAAAAAACTTCATGAAATGAGAAAAATCTTTGAAATAATGAAAATTATGTGTGTGCTTCCATTAAGCCATTACGCATTTCTAACCAATGTGTGTGAATTTCTCCATCATACTCTTTCTCTCGAAACATTTTGAAGAAGATAGGGCATTGCACTCAACCCATTCATTCGGGATAATTTTTGGGGTAATAATTTTGTAAAGAGAGTAAAAGCGATTAAATGAGATAGGACGAAGCCGAAAATTCTAAAACTAAACTTCTTTTAAAAGTAATCGAACAGCAGTCGGATACAAAGTGATTTTAATTTTCTGTGATATTTTAAGTTAATTTTATTTTATGATTTTTGTAATTTAGATTTATGATTTTTGCAAATAAAATATTTTAGAGCACAAAATTAATTAAATAGTTTTTTCTTCTGTTGATTTGGATTTAGGAGAAACATTTTTTAAATT